AAAAAAAAAAAAGAAGAAGAAGAAGAAGAAGAAGAAGAAGAAGATAGGTTAGGTGTTCCTTTCTGTGGAACTTTTTTTGGTTTGTGTGGCTTTTAAGGCCGTGTGGCCTCTTGTGGTAGGTTTTGGTTTGTTTGGCTTTTAAGGGCGTGTGGCTTCTTTTGTTCCCAGGACTGGAGGCTTATCAGAGCACCAGTCTGAGATGTGGCCATTTCTGCCTGAAACATATTCTCTAGTATCTGCACCTAAAGCTGGGTAATGGTCCAAGCATTTCCGGGTTGATTGTGGAGGGATGCCCAGCCTCCTTTTGTTGTACTGAAATACAAAGTCGGTTGTTTACTAAAAAAAAAAAAAAAAAAGACTCAGCCATATCCTTGCTGACATGCCGCATATCTATTTTCTGGTCAGGCTTCCAGGAGGCTGCACTTCGATGCAGCATCTCTCAAAAACCCTCGTTTAGATCTGGTCAGGTGTCAGGCCCTCTCTTTCCCAGAACAGGGCTCATTAGTTGGTCGGACGTCAGTTTCTCTTCGTTGCTTTATGCGTTTACAGAAGTTACGGTCCTTTTCCCTGTCCCCCACTGTTGACGTTACTTCAAAATCTAACCTCCTATTTTGCTTCCTTGGATGCACCTGATCTCACGGCTGGAGGGCATGCTGCATTCTCTCGAATTGGACGACCAGACCGAGATCCGAACACTGGAGATCCCAACAGTGGGAAATAACGGAAGACCGAAGCAAGGCACCATAGGCATATCTATTCAAATCCCGAAAGGCTCATAAAGACCTGAAAGGTTTGTTAAAAAAAAAAAGAAACAAAAAAAGGGAAACTACGCGGGAGTCACAAAAATGAGTTAAAATTGCACTATGGGCCAAGATACAGTTTCGAATTGCAGTTCGGCCAATGTATCCAACCCAGCTTTCTGGCCAGGTAGGGTGCCCAAAGTGCAATTGCAAACTGTATCTTGCCCCATACTGCAATTATAGCTCGTTTTGTGACTTTACTGAAGTGACCCCCACAAAAAAGTACATCCTACCGACACACGGCAGCAAACCATCACCCCACTTCTCTTGTTGTTCAGACCCTCCATGTCGCAAATGACAAGCATTACCCCAATTAGTCGGACAAATCTCCACATGGCATATACTAATACCACTATCAATATCAAATCACTGGATCCTTTCCCAGCCGTTTTTCTACAACACTGCGCCTGCACAGCCCAGGTCAGGAAATGAAAAGGCCTTCCGTTTCGTGCTGAATTCGTCCGGTCTTGCACACGGCCTGTTTCACCTGGACGTTTTTGCTGTGAAATGGCAGGCGGGTGTCATAGAAAAATGGTCCAGAGAAGCACTGGTGGTTTAATGAACATGCTTTGAAAAAAAACATATGACTGACACATGTCTAATTCCACTGCAAAGGGCGAGCCTTGACTCGTCCACTTTGTCGTCTACTGCCAAAAAAAAACAAAAACAGAACTGCCCATGCAGAATTAGATATGCACTGAAAAGGAATCACTTTGATCGACTGCCAAGGTACTCACTGCAGAGGATAACTTCTTTTTCTTTTTCTTTTTGTTAAAAAACAGAGCGACACGGGGTCGGCCAGCAGAACCAGCAGAACCAGCTAAAGAAGCCACATAAGGATTACTGAATGAAGTTCAAGGAATGGACAGCAATCCACCCCAGCATCGCACTACACCCACCATCCGCATTTCCGGACCCTTTCCCACCCCACTCGCTATCCATGGTCGAAGTACTTTGAGAGGGCTAGGTGGCACAAACAAGAGCTGGGCCGGAGGACAGAGGGATCTGACGATGCTCCCCGGCAGCCCTATTGCTCCTTAAACCGCAAGTACATGGTCCCAGCCTTGCAGAAAGTTTTTGTCGCCACAAGCAAAATTCGGAGGGGCCGCGCGGCGTGGGGCGCCATTGAGAAAACAAATCGGCGGCCTCCGAAGTGGTGCGGGTTTCGTGCTGACACCCGCGGGCCGATGTGTGGTGTACTGGTGCTTCAACACCCAGCCCAACTATCTCTAGAACAGACGAAAGCCTGAGCTTATCTTGAGTCCTAGTACTTAGTAGCCTCCAACAACTGGAACGATTTTCTTTTTGTATAAGGGTCCTTGGACCCGGTTTCCAGCAGGTGCTGTTCCCCATCAATAGATTGGAGCCAACAATGGGGCTGCCAGTGGTCGGGGCTCATATCACCACCACAAGCAATGCCCACTGGGTTAAAAAATAATAATAAGGGTCCCCGGACTCCCGGCTCCATGTCCATTGTGGGGACCGTCAGTTCATTCGGCCGAAGGATCCCTGACCACCAGTTCTTGGCCCAGCTAGATAAGGCACGATCATGGACACCATTCCAGGCGAACCTTTTTTCGCTCACCAGGCTGGAAATACTGATGACAACCTGGCGCGCTAGATGTTCCCACGAGCGGAAAGAGCATCTGTTTGGTTATCAGCAAGCCAGAGCACACATAATCGACACCATTCGAGCTGCCATCCACAGCGCCTGGACCCAACTGAAAGACAACCTGGTTCGTACGACGGACCGCCTCCACAAAGAAGAACAAATAACCCTCTTCGAACAACTGTGGCTGGATCTTGAGAAAAAAATTGGGGGAGCTAGACACAGTGCAACGCATGCTATGGAAGTCGTGGTGGCAGAATGAGCGCCGGTGGCAGTGGAAACCGCTCCCCGTTGCCCATCGCCCGGTACCGAGTCACCCACTGCTCCCCCTCCTCGGCCCTACACAACAGCCCCCTCCACGACAAGACATCGATGTGCAACACCCTGTTCTGTCTCCTCCAATATCTTCAGCAGAGGCTTCCCCTTCACAATTTCCCTCACCCCCTCCCCTGCCGACAGACCTGCCACTCCCCACCCCCTCTCTTCC